TTTAGGAGGCGTCTATTAATCACGTGATCGATTGTTTGAGGATTTTTGGACCCCCTCTCCCACTTGGTGATACCTGGTGATATTCAAAATTACCCCCTCCCCTACAAACATCACGTATATTTTTAGTTTTTTTTGAAAATGTTTGGAGTTTTAAAAAAAATCAAGTAAAAATAAACACAAGTCATATCTTACTATATCCCTCCTCCCCCATGTAGTATTTCGCAATTTTTGTCAACCCCTCTGCCCCTAAAAACTCCACATAATTAATGGACGCCCCCCAATACTTTATCATCTATCTACACAAGACTACCCTTGTCAACAAGGTACCTACAAGGTATCTACATTAAATCAATTGTTAATTAAAGTACTGAAAAATAAATCTAGCAAAAATAACCCGCGCGTAGACTGTCTTGGATTTTGATCAAGCTTGACTTAATGATAAATTTTATGCCCAAATAGACTGTGGTAAAATATTATAGGTCTATGGAAAACCGTTCTATCAAAAAAAATCAAGTTTACATCTCGAAAGTTCACACCCAGCTCAAGTTTTTCTCAGGTAAGAACTGCGTATGGTGATAGTAGTATAAAAAGAAAAAATGTGGATTTTAATCATTGAAAAATATGGATTTCGATATGTTAAGTATGGTTGTTATTAGGAACATATAACGTTCGAATGAAATCTGAACAAAATTAATATTTGAATATTAGGATTATAAATATAGATATCCATTATTAAAGCGTTGTAAAATTTTCTATCTGTATTGCAAATAAATTGTTACATTTTGCTCTGTATATAAATAACGTTTTATCGATCTCCCAGCTCTCTGTCTAGACTTTTATCCATATATAGGCAAAAAATAAAATAAAAATAACAAGTTACATCGCGCGGCCGAGGGTATAAACACACGGGCAACAGGTGTTCGATGTCATCGAATTTTCCTGCGATTCAGAAAATGAGAAAAAATCAACTCTTTGGCCAAAAACAAAAATAACTCAGTCATTGAGTAATGTGTTGTGCACAAATAGATGGAAATTACTCTCAGCTTTTCATACCAAACGATATGTGATTCTGGTCAATAAGAAGAAGGTAATCTTCTATATATATAAAAATAAGTCGGGTTTTCCTTCCTGACGAAATAACTCCAGAACGCACGAACCGATTTCGACAATTTTGCATTCGTTAGAAAGGTCTCGGGCTCCGCAAGGTTTATAGCTGAGAAAATTAGTGGTGCATGGCATCGTGCCTAAATGCAAGCTGCTGGAACTTCACGCACCGTAATTTAAAATTCGAGTAATTGCATTAGTGAGAATTATCAGAATTATGCTTGGTTAAGTCGACGAGCAATTCTTGCCGCAAAGAATAATGATGTACACGCACTGAATTTCACCATTCAATCAAAAAGTGCTGGCGATTTGGTGACATACCAATGATTCTGACTGGTCTTCCGTTTGACTTCAAACGATTGCAATATCCAGTTCGCCTTGCGTTCGCAATAACATGTCGCAAGGCCAATCGCTTAGTGTTTGCGGGATAAATTTCAAATAGATTATTTAGAAAATCATTGTTTTTCACATGGGCAGTTATACGTTGCCTGTTCACGAGTTGGAAAACCATCCGCTTTGTTTGTGTTAACGTCAGACCCAAAAAACAAAAAATGTGGTTCACCAAAGAGCACTTCAATGAAACGGATAATTGGCGGATTCACTTTCATTTACTTAGAGAAGTTCAACTCAAAAACAATTTTTGTAATCGAAATAAATTCATTACTGTTGTATAATAAAATCAATTTATTTTTCAAATATAAAACAAACAAAAAATTTCTTCATCTTTCTCACGAAACCATCTGGTGGCGAAACGGAGTTCGTCGGGTTTACTAGTTTTTTATAAAATAAAGATCAGAACATGTACAATTAAAAGATAAAAGAAGTATTTTTAAATTGTGAAAAAACTTAAAATAACAAGATTTTTTTCAAAATTATAATAATTTATTTCTTGTAATGCAAATTTTGTGTATTTTATATAAATACGTTTTCCAGCTAAACGAGTTTTTAATCTAGTTAAAGTTAAAATTATATTTATTATTTTTAATTTGATTAATATAACTAATTCGCTAAATATTTATTATTTTTAATTTGATTAATATAACTAATTTGCTAATTTTATTAATATTAATTTTAAATCTGAAAACGATTACTACGTCGATGAAACATATGTTTATTTAGAAATACTAATTCATATTTATGATATCCCATAATATTGAATAAAATTTTGTACAAGTAATATATACATATTTGTAATTGCTTAGTTAATTAAAATCTATGAATTGTATGGTATAAATATTAAAATAAACAATGATAAAAATATTAATAACCGACTAAAACAATATTACATAATGTAATTCATAGTGCAATAAATGTAAAAGAAACAAATATATGTACTGAATGATTCAAGATTCATAGTTAGACTGACTAATGGAAACAAAAAGATTTTAAATAGAATTACTATGCTAATTTAATTCCTAAATTCGAAATTCAATTTTCATACTACTTTGTACATTATGAACTATTTAGTTATTTATTATTTGATGCAATTTTTTTCACTATTATTCTTTTTCACAATTTTTAATTATTTTAATTAATAACCTATTAATATTTTTAAATTTTTAATTATATATTTGTTATACGAGTATAACAGTTGTAACAAAAAATTAGATTTTAGATTTAACTATTTGGAATAAATCATTTAAATTTTGCGATATTAGATTAGTCGATTTGACAAATTAGTTACAAAAATAAGAAGTTCTCAAAATTATATAAAAAGCTTCAAAAATAGTTTTATAAGTTATGGTATTTCAAGAAGAAATTATTATAGAAAATGTAATATAAAATTATGGTGAATAGTGTAATAACTGAAACAATTAGATGTTTAAGAAATTGAAGAAATCCAACAGAGGTGTCTAAGATTCCTGATTTCTTCAATTACTTGCATTTAAAATTCCTAATTAAATTAATTAATTCCTATAAAATAATTACCATAATAAACGGTAAAAAATAATCAGAAGTTGTTTATTCCAATTAACGCGCTCATAAACAATTTTTCAACCGCTAACAATAATTACCTTTTATAAAATCCAATACATTAATTAGTCAATGGCTATCAGCATAATATAAAATATTTAATTATCCAAAGAATAACAGATCGCTCATAAATTAAAGCTAATTATGAATGTAAACAATGCAAAAATACACCTTTAAAAACATGCATCGCATTTTAAATATTCCGATTAAAAATTAAACACTGGAACATATTCGCCTATACTCGTATATCGATATGGCCACATAAAGCTGTACATATGTTGAACGCGAATAAAAATTAAAAACACATTACCGACGCCAATTGAATTATTAGTTTATAATTATCATTATACAGACAATCGAAATTCTATTTAGCGATATACATAATATAAGCTCGTACATCGGGTAATATCCATAATTCCGCAATACTCGATTTAAAAACACCAATTAGAGAGCGCATTTTTGCGGTGCCGCTATATTACGCGGCCCATATATCAGTATATTAGCAATTGGCGGCGGAGCTGGCCGAAAATTAGTTAATTCTGGTAATAATTAGGAAAATAATTCATTTGGTGTAATATTTTTCATACAAAATCTAATATCATTCTTCAATTCTAAATATTCTAATTTTCCTCATAACGAAATAATAGAAAATTGCAGTTCACCTTAATGTATAAAAGTTGAAATACAACTAATAGAATGGTCTGACAAGGAGAACCTCCAGGTTTACTTTTCTGGGATTTTGATGATACTTCGCACGGTGATATAGTTAATAATCAAACCAAACACCTTAAAATATTATAGGCCTATGCAAAATGGTCTAATATTATAAAAATTAAATAAAGTTTTGAAACCTAAACAGAGCTCAATATGCATGCGTACAGCGTTTATTTTAAAATTATTCAAAATTACTAATATTATTAACACTTTGTTTTATCTTCATGCAGCTATATATTGACACAATTGATACAAAATCGAAATCATAATAATTATACAAAAAAAATTTAAAATTATTACAATTAATATTGTAATTGGATAAAAAATGTACAGGTCTCACAATTAAAAGACAACAAATATGATTGATTATATAAAGTAGAAAATCTTCTAATATTCTACTAAATTATTAAGTAAAATAATTCAAACAGTCAGCATCGTAGTTTGTTCTTTTAGAGTAATAAAATCAAAGTATTTTTTATTATTTTTCTAAATTATATACATATTTGAATATAAAACTTGGAAATAATATCATGATCTTGTTTTCAGTGCTATAATCAGATTAAAAAAATATACAGTTAACAATTGTTACATTTGGGACAATAAATATAATTGTCTAAATAAAGACTTACAATATAATTGCCTAAATAATTTAACGCAGTGTAGTAGTAATAACGCAAAATTTTAATCGTGAATTGATAATCTATTCATGAGTTTATTTATTAGATTTCTTGGAACATTCATTAATATTATACGTAAATTTTTTTTACAGAATTGGATATTATTAGAACGTCTTACGTCTATAAATTAAAGCAGATTTTTTTTTTGCAATAGCTTATCTTCACGAAATAATTTATCTAATTTGAATGAGAAATGAAACAAGGTTGATCAAAATTCGATGGTAACTTCATTAACATGCATTTAGGAAATTTAAATTTTCATTTGGGTTTAATTTCAATAGAGGAAATAATTGTTATTTATGCAATAATATTTTGTTTTACATTTGAAAATAGTGATTCAGAAATAATCATGACGGCATTATTATATTGTAGAAGCAAAATCTAAAAAAATCAAAATATTATAAAAATATAAATCAACCATATGTACAAGTAATAATTAATTTAACATAAATAAAATTGTCAAATTACTGAATAAACATATACATATTTTAAATGTTTTTTTTCTTAATTATTTTTATATTATTTTTTTACCCCAGCTCTCCTTCTAATCCAATTGCTATCCCATTCCCACCCCTAATTAAGCCTTTGGCCAGAACGAAAAGCAACAAAACAGCCTGTAAACAGTATTCATATATAGACAAAAATAACACATTGCACTTTTATAATTTGTAACAGAGTCATAAATTAATTGCACAGTTTTAAAATTGAAAAACTAAATGATCATATTGAATAACGAGCTGTGCTCTATATCACATCGGATATAATTTATGCGTAATTGAGTGCATCGGAATATATAGCCGAATAATGTTCTATATATAATAAACGATCATTATTAGGTTGATTGATATTAATTGCACATGACAAAGATAAGATCAAAATTCGACTGAGAAATATATGGGTAAATGATAATGGTAAAACAAAACTAGTCGTGTATGGTACTGTGCCACAAGACAGACTGCTGGATTTGCCTAAAAATTGCATAACGCTAAAATAAATTTTAGAATTTACAGAAACGATAACAGAAATTGAAGCAATGGATTTTTGCAAGTAAACCAACATAATTGTGCAAAATTCATCAGCTTTGTAGAAAAAATGTCTTATCTTTTGTTGGAAGTTATAAAATTCGACAAGTTTGCTTACACCTGTTGTATTTTAAATTTCCCTCTCAAAAACTCTTTGAAAAGTGTCAAAACGTTTTATTTATGAACTACGACTCAATACATGATATCCTATTAATGATGTAACATTTAAATAGTCTATGTTGGTATATTTTTATACCAAGTTTGAGAGCGACCAGTTTATCCTCATACAACTGCTGAAAGAACAACACCTCGGATGTTATTTCGGCTGTGAGTTAATTAATTTGATGTCATGATTTATTTTATATGCAAATAAATATTTGAATTCTTTAAATGATTTTTTTTATAATTTATAAACAAATTATGTGGTGAATGCACAATTTATTGTACCACATACCTCGTGAGTGATAATTATTAACCACTTGATGATATAATCATTATGCATTAATTAATTTTTTTTTATTATCTCTTTCATTTACAACTGTCCAGTAAAGGACATTCAATAAATTTGAGGAATTTACAATAGTCGTCCTAAAAAGGAACATTGTACACTACAAGGGCATGTTGAAAAAACAACTTAGTAGTTTTATATTTATTGATATTTTATTGATAATTATACAATTTTAACTATTATTAAATAATTTCTTATAAATAATGATTAAGTTATTTCCATTTTTTATCAGGAGAGTTGATGGCTTAAATCCAGTGGCGCTTTTCTTATCAACCTTCCTTGATTATTAAATAACGGTTAATTATATTATTATCAATAATAGTTACTGCTATTAATTTTGATTTTTTCAAACTTTTGGTCAATTTTTTTGGATATGAACATGGGACGACCAGTTTTGAAGATAGAATTCAAGCATATCTAACTAAAATTTTAATTTTAATTAATATAATTAGATATTGGCCTAAGAACCTTTGCAATATTTATGTATTTTGTTAAAAAAAAATAAAGATTGTTTTTTATATTTCTTCCAAACTATGCATATGTTTGAACCAGAGTTGTATCGTATGCAGGGATTAACTTAAGTAATATCTTGAATTTGAATTTCTTATTTATTTTCATTATTATTATAATATATGTTGAATTACGTAACCGGTGGACAGAAGTGCATTGGGTTAATAATTTTTATTTATAAAGCGGACTTGTTTATTTGTAGGTAATTAGTATTATCTACATTTTAAAGTTTAGTATTTCAATTTTACTTAATATTATTATCATATTATCTTAATTAATTTTTTATTTACTTTTTCTTTATTGGTTATTCGCAGATCAAACTGATACAATTGAAACTTCGTACAGAAATTGGATTGAGACATGTGTAAGTAGCAATAATTATAAATCTTTAACAAATTTAATATATTGCTAAAACTTAACACATTTTTTTAATATATAATATTATTTTTTCAGATGTTTCTCCAATTAGCGTCGTCGTGTCATGACTATAAATCGTGAATAATAATAATCGGAGTGCGAATTTTTGATTAAATTTTTAGTGCTAGTTTTGTAATTTTTGTAGATTTATTAGTGTTTAGTGTTCGTATAAGTGTTAATTTACGGAATTAGCGTTTGTTTGTAAAATTAGTGTTTATTTATAAAGTTCAAAGTTTATTGACCATGTGTAGGCATGTTTCAACCAGTAGGAGGTGCGTTTATTTATTCAAATAATTTATTTATTAGTTAATTAATTTGTTAAGTTAATAAATTTATTAATGTGCAATATTTTCCTTTTTTGTCATTTGTTTTAAATTTTATCTTTCATAATAAACATTATTAAAATTAGAATTTCAATCAATTTTTGTTATTGCAGAGTACAAGTGAAAAAACTGGATATTTTAGAAGAAAGTGTGTGTTGGTGAATGGTGAGTGTTTTAAAATTTTAAGCATGCTTATTAATAGTATGTTCACATGTTGGAATTGACTTCAATAAAATTAAAAAATAAATATTAATTTCTTAAAACGAGTGTTATTTGACTTTTCTTCGAATTTAAGACCTTATTTGAGAAGTAATTTACTAGTCAACAATTAGGTAATAATTTCTTAGTTAATTCTATTTTGTGTGTGATTATACAAAATTGTAAAACATCATTTTCATCAATCATTTTCATCAATTAGGGAATAATTTGTTAGTTAATTTTATTTTCCTATGACTGAACAAAATTGTGGACATACCATTAAACATTTACTAATTCATGTATTTCTTGCAGCAGTTTTAATAAAATCAGTGTTTTGTAAATATGTGTGTGTAAGTGTATATATTAAAAAAAAGGATTATTTAAATTATTTATTTTAATTGCGCGTAAAATAAAGTGATTATGTGGACTTTAAATTCGCGAACAAAAACGTGCTGATGCGGAAAGATTTTGAGGTAAGAATAGGAATAAAATTTTATAGTAATTTTTATTCTATTATTTATTAAACTAAAGAAAAATACCACTGTCTAAGGGCCCAATCAATTAATCTTTAAGATTTATTTAAATAATATAACATAGTTGCATATACATAAATCTAGAATTAATTTTTGTATCAATTATTTCATTTTTCAAATCATTCATTTTTATGGAAAAAAACCTGTTTGAATATATTCAATAATATTGTACGAGGTTATTGCGGATTAATAAATTCCTGAAAACACATCATTCTAAATTTTTATTAAAGTAATTTAAAATTCATTATAAATTCATAAATGTAGATCCAGGAAAAAGTCTTCTCGCACCACAAAATATTTATTTGTAGTGCCATACAATAAAAAACAATTTTTTTAATACATTTCCGAACAAACAACACTAAAATAATATTTTATTATGATAACTAATTTATAGTCATTTTTCTAAAAGCATTCTTAATCCATTATATTTCAATTTACATCATTTAACTTGTATTGTATAGAAGTCAATAAGTATTTCACAATTACTCTAGCAAATGAGATTCTCAATAAGACCGTGACGAGAACTATAAACACAATTTCAATAATAGGGTTAAATAGAAAAATAAAAGGTGTATTGTAATTTGTAATGGCACATGAATCTTTAACATGATATAATTTCGTGAAAAATATTCTGACAAAAAATTAGTCAAGCTCTCAATATTAATTTTATTAATTGAGGATCTTACCTGAGTAGTCCTTTTAGTAATAACAAGTCACAAAACTGAATTTTTATTGAAACTTAATATTTTTTCTACTGCCGCTTTAAGTAAAATTTGGAAAAAATATGTATGTATGAAAGAGTGTTTCTGAAGACTGAAGAATGAAACTGAGATGACTTTTTGTCTTACCCCCACTCGTAAAATACTTGATATATAGCAAATCCCTAGTTTTTTCTTAAAAAAAATTACAGAATAAAGTTTTAGGCTATAAAATTTTAAATATATCACAACTCATCAATTGGAATAAGTTTTGAATTGTGACATGATTTGGGCTTTGATTTGAACAAAATCAGACGTCTATGGGGTGAAAAAGACCAATGTGATAAATTTTTGAAAAATAGCAAAAAAGCATATTTTTACAATGAGGAATCAGCTTGTAGTTTTACTAAACATAGTCAGATAGTTGTTTGTTACATACATGTTATTTGTTGTGATATGATTGGTTTGGTTTTTGCAATATAATTGCTCAAAGTCAAATTGGACCTTTGTGCCCAGCCCTACCCTACAAATATACATTTATATATTTATACATTGTCGTAAGAATTTTTTATTCTATGTCTTATAACATTACTTACAAGTTTAGATAATTTTATTATACACAAGGGTTGGAAACAATCGAAGACAATCAATGGCTATGATAGTTCCAAAGTAGTAAATCAATCATCCCTTAAACAACTGACGCACCATCCTTCTTTGTCTGACACATAAGGGAAGCCTATGGTACTGCTTCAACGTGTTTAGAAGCCGAACGTGTTGGCTTAATTATGGGGTGATTTCGATACCCGAATTATTTGTATGAGGATTCTGATATATAAGACTAAATAATACAAAGATAACTGAGATAAGTCATTAATTCTTTTATGAAAAATATGGAAACATGATTATTGAATTTTTATTACGACTAAGTATTATTCTGAATCGTACCTAAATGTTTTGAACCCGGTACGAGATTGGAAGACAGAGTTCGAATAAAAATGACCTTGTAGTGTTGTAACAATGAATTTGAAATAAATCTCAAAATATCTTTAACTTGTAAGCAATTCTGCATTTCAAACGATAATATTTATTAAAAAAAACTTAACTATCCTTTACCAAAACGGTTCCTCCAACATATGTCATACTTCTGATATTCCGTTTACCTATATCCATCAAAACCTATAATAAACGTGTTTGTCAAAAATTTCAAGAAACGGTTAGAGAACAAAAGGTCTCCAATTAAGACGAAGATGAAAGAAATAGGTATCCAATTTAATATTAAGAAATGTTTACGTATGTTTTAAGAAGTTATATGGCTTTAGACATCCAAATTAGTGGACAACGTCTTCGCTGCTGGACTTCGACACGCAAAGCATATGGTGTCTTAATTGAAAATACGATATTTTTATATAAATATTGAT